GAATTGAACCCACGGTCCCAGCACAATGGGGCAGCAATGCTATCCTCTGCACCACTGTGCCACCTGTTCTGGTGTCTTTTACTTTAAAAAAACTGAAGAATCTTTCTTAGCTCAAGCAGCCAAGGACCTAAAAAGGATCCTGAGATTATCAGAAGTTTTAGACAAGAGCTCAATGTCAAATGAGCAATGGCTGAAAATTTTATTCAGAATGCTGCTTCCAGACCTGTGCGTAATACCATATTCCTGTTCAGTGATTGAAGTGTGAAGCCTCCATCCCCCTAACATCTTTAAAAATAACTATATTTTGTTTCCAGGTAATTTAAAATTGGATTTCTTAAGAGAAAATTGTGTCTGGTTATCTCTAAGTGTCCTACTTCGGAATCTTCATCCTGCATTGGGGAATGCTGTCAGCAAAGCTGGACAGCAGCATGATTGCTTTAGTCTCCTTTATTATATAAAAGGCTGTTTTGTTTTATCCCCAAAAGGCTGTTTTGGTGCTGAAATTGATGTAATCTACTTTATACAGTAAAATGAAAGAGAGAAAATATTATTTTTATTATGCTGGTTATGACATGTGGCATGGTGTTGCAGTAGTTAGTTGCAACACTGGGGCTCATATTGTGCAATATGACTTTTTTTGTACTGTTCTGTTCTGGTTTGTTCTTTGTGTGTTCTGGACTGTGAGTAACTCATCTTAGTGCACTTCTCACTGTACTGATTGTATTGTATGTATTGTATTATTATTATTGTATCATTCGTTACACTGTGGCTGTGTTAAGTTGCTGTTGCACTGCAATTTTCCTCACGGGATCGATAAAGTATCTATCTATCTCTGGATTCAATTCTGGACCTGGAATGCTCTCTGCATGGAGTTCATATGTTCTCCCTGTGTTCGCTGGGTTTCCTCCGGGTGCTCTGGTTTCCTAACATACTGGTAGGTTAATTGTCTTCTGGGAAAACTGTACGGTGTGTTTGAGCCTGTTTTTGTGTCTGCCCTGTGATGGAAAGGTATCCTGTCCTGCCTTGCAGTCTTTGCTGGACAGGATTGGCTCTGGCTCCTCAGATGCAGCCTTTGAAAAATGAATTGGAGGAAGAGGATAGAAAATCACTAGATATTTATTGTGCTAGTTTCTGTTTTATAGCTTTGAATCAGAAATGTGTTTATTGTTTCACTCAGAACGCACTTGTTTATGTGTGAAGGTTCTTCTCAGACAATGTGAAAGTAAACTAACATCTGCTCACAATTCAGCAGTTATCCCCCTTATTAGATTAGAGTATGTTACTTTATCCAAATAAGACATCCCTGATCTGACTGATTTGTAATTTGTAATCAAGAACTAAAATCAACTGTATATTGCTTTTGTGAGCATAACTGCTGTTCAGACTGTTAAGAAATGTGCTTATGAAAATTTAGGGATTCACTATTATCCTACCTATGGGAGAAGGGAATTTTGTTATGGTATAGCGTACATTTTGAAAGAGCAACCACTCCCTAAACATTTTTAATTTGTATAAAAGTTTATTTACAGGGATTTGCCATTTCCATGGAAAACGTTCATGAAATAAGCAAACATTCTCTTAGGTGTAAGACAAACTAGTTCAATTAGTCTCCGTACTCTTAAACTGTCGAAGAAACAAATGTTACAAATCCCCAAAAAGGATAAAGACAGAGGATGACAAGGATTGAATCAGTTTGTTGTGTGCCTGGTCTGTTTCCTGCATCCAAGTAAGTGTAAGAGAGAGCAAAGTATATAACGGAAAAGTGTTTTGATAAAATGTATTATTGTTTTTAAAGTATATCCAGCAGCCATATCACCCTGCAACACACAACTGGCAACCCACTGAAGCTAAGCGGGTGTGAGCCTGGTCAGTACCTGGATGAGAGACCTCCTGGAAAAAACTAAGGTTGCTGCTGGAAGAGGTGTTAGTGGGGTCGGCAGGGGGCGCACACCCTGCAGTCCATGTGGGTCCTAATGCCCCCGTATAGTGACGGGGACACTACTAAAAAGGGCACCGTCCTTTGGATGAGACGTAAAACCGAGGTCCTGACTCTCTCTGGCCATCAAAAATCCCAGGGCATTTCTCGAAAAGAGTAAGGGTGTAACCCCGGCGTCCTGGCCAAATTTCCCATTGACCCTTACCAAACATGGCCTCCTAATAATCCCCCTCTATGAATTGGCTACATTACTTTGCTCTCCTCCCACTGATATAGCTGATGTGTGGTGAACGTTCTGGCGCACTATGGCTGCCGTCGCATCATCCAGATGGATGCTGCACGTTGGTGGTGGTGGAGGGGAGTCCCCATTACCTGTAAAGCGCTTTGAGTGGAGTGTCCAGAAAAGAGCTATATAAGTGTAAGCAATTATTATTAATTAAATTATTTTTACAATATGCCCACCTGTCCACTCTGAGTTTGCGTCTGAAAAACAAACCAAACTCACTGTCAGGTTTTGGGTTTGTTCTGGGCTGAAAAGGCTAGTTATTTGATCTTGAGTGTGAATGCTCTGTAATCCAAAGGAACTACAGCAGCACAAAAGAACAAGAAGGCAAAGTAAAGTTCAGAACATTTCAAGACTCAAAGGTAAGACACACACTTTAACACAGGTTCCAGGAGCTGAATCTCTTTAGTTTTGAAAGCACTGTACCACTCAAGGATTTGAATAAAGCATGCATCCAAACCTTGAAAGGTTCAGCTCAAAGAACTAGTTAAAACTCGACACAATGTAGGACTGAGAACAGAAGACTCAATTTTCTCAAAAGGCTGGATACAGTTCCTAATTTAATTACTAGCAAACTGGTGAACATTTGGATTGGAAAGTCTCCTGTCACCGTGAATTTTCATTTAAAAATATTCTTCAAAGAAGAGTGAAGTGTACGACATGGAAAAGGTGACAATTGCTAAACTGCTTTCAGAGGAATTACATTTGCTTAGGACAACAGTAAAGAGTGTGGTAAAATAACCAGATAAATAAGACAATTTTTTGTGCAGGAATAATATTTACTTAATTTAATTATCAGGTCTGGAAAATTATATCACATGAAACAATAGTTTTAGTTGAGTGCATATTATTGATAATAATACTAATATAAATTGATAAATGTATGGAAAAAGGTTAGCACACAAAATTGATAAATTAGGATAATAATACCTGACATACTGTCTTTTTTGTGCAAAGGTGTACTGGTGTAGCACAGCAATCTCTAATTATAGAAGATGGCCTTTGCAAAACTAATTTACTGTAGATGGCTTCTAGCTTATCTTTATTTTTTACTTGACTCATAAAATTTTCATAAAATAATAACGGATTACACGGTTTAGCGAGAAATACAGTGACGAAATACTTTAATTTGCATTTTGTGTTAGTTTGTTGAGGGTATAAATACAATATTTATTGTATTTATACCCTCTATGAATTGGCTACATTACTCTGCTCTCCTCCCCACTGATAGCTGATGTGTGGTGAGCGTTCTGGCGCACTATGGCTGCCGTCGCATCATCCAGGTGGATGCTGCACATTGGTGGTGGTGGAGGGGAGTCCCCATTACCTGTAAAGCGCTTTGAGTGGAGTGTCCAGAAAAGCGCTATATAAGTGTAAGCAATTATTATTATTATTATTATTATTAATATTTGAAACTATTTGATAAACAATTCTATTGAACTCCATCCATTTCATGTGATTTATCCAGTTCATTTTTAGAATAGTTTTATTGTTCAAAATGCTGATTTATTATTTATGGGGGGAAGCAATTGGGAGAAAAAAAACAGAATTAAGAAAATTCCACAGCATCTATATTTCTTTTTAAAAGTATACAGTTAATTTCAGGGCTTTAATGCACTGCAAATCAAACTGCGTTAATTTTTTTCTAACAAAGACGCAGGGCCATCGGACAATATGTAGAATGGATAGGTACAAGAACAAAGCTTAGCTGAATGCTCCTTAGTTGTATCTTTCTTCTATTGAAAGGGTTACACCGGTAATAACTTTAAGACTTTAAGTTAAAAAAAACTTGATGGGCGCACTCTTGCTTTCTGACTTTGCACTGTTGCACTGAAACGATTTCCTAGAAAGTACGCTCCTTGCTGCGCTTACAAAAAAATTAAAAGCCCTTTTTAAAGAGCTTCACGAAGACCGGCCTACTTATCATATCCCCGCCCCTACAGTTGTTCTTTTCCCCCTTGAGAGAACCTCCTCAAATTGTCCTAAAGTCCCCCTGCCCGGGCTTTCTATTTCGCTTGGAGAACACTGCGCGCTATTTTTAGCACATATTGGACCGTTTCCAGGACCTGCAACATTTTTTTGAAAAAATTGGTAATTTATCCCCCCACCACCACCACCTCTCTCTCTCTTTTACTTCCTCTGTCTCACTTCTTAAAAAAAAACTGAGGTTTTTAAAGGGCTGGGTTAGTATGCTTATTTCCTTAGCGTTATATCTACTGTAGCTGCTGGGAGCTTTAAACCGGTCAGGCAAGCGAGCAAGCAAGCCAGACTAGCAGGGAGCTTTTGTTTTAATTTAATCAGAGGACATCACTGTGGGGGGGTGGGGGGAAAGGACAAGCACCGAAGCAGGGAATTCAGCACGGCTGTTTGTGAGCTCTAAAACCGGCCTTGCTTGTAATGTAAGTGAACGGCCACCTTTTTGTCGTAATTTATGTCCAAGTATGTGTTGTTATTTGGATTTTTACGATTGCAGTTAAAATGTAGCTCAAGTGTTGGATTTCTGACTGTGAATCCGCACGTTTCATTGTTATTTTTCTGCAATGTATATATGTATGTTTTGCACATGCTTGTTTGCTGATCGTCCTCTTGGTAGCTACCACAGCAAAAGGGGGAAAGATTTATTTTCATTGCGTTTGTATTGACCTTGCAGCCGCCTGTTCACCTCTCTGTATAAAAACGAGAACGGTGCTTCTTCACGGTCGGTGTCGGGCTGATATTGTATTTGTGCTTGCTTTGCATATTCCTGTTCGTGCTGGAACTGCGGGGCATCCGTAGCGACCCTGCTTTCAGAAATATTATACACGTTTTTAGGGACGTATTATTTACATCCTTTAGCTGCAAGTTATGGCGTTCTGGAGCTCTGAATAGCTTTCGTGTGTTAAAAAAGCATTGGAAACGTTTCATGTGCTTGCACGTAAAACTGCGGTTTGTCGTCTGTTTATAAATGAATTAAATGGTGGTCTTGGGATTTTGGCCTTTTAACTACTGTTTTGTTTTTAAGAATTGCGCTTTTCAGTATGTCAGATTTTTTTTTCCATTAATCCCCCTCTCACGTCAGTTTTTTTAACTTTAAGAAATGACTTACGAATCTGTTGATCCAATTAAAACCCGCTTCCATGCAAGTCTATACTAGATGGATTATTGCGTTCACAGGTCTGCTGTGTCCTCTGTGTGAGGCGATTCCTATTCTCTTAGAAACCTGTCAATGGGCTTGTCTTCTAATTTTGAACAGAAAAATGTACCAAGGAAAAGTTTTGCAATAAGTGCGAAGTTGATTTTTGGCATGGAGATAGTACCTTTAAATCGTATTCGAATGTTGCATGATTAATCTGGCGAATTTCTGTCGAGTTTAAGTGTTTTTTGGCGTGTTATTGTTTTTAGTGTTTATTGCAATCTCCCCTGACACTATTCCCACAGCAGAGAATGTTTGTATAAATAATGTATTTCACATCACACGGTAAGTTATGAACGTCTCGGAGAGCGTGTGTGGTTTGTGGTCTCTGGCGCCTTTTGCTTTCAACAAAGGCGTCAAATTGGATTAAAGTGGTGGAACTCGTGTGCATTGAAGAGTTTAATAATCTCGTAGCCGCACCGTGAGGATTTTAACTGTTATGTAATTATAAAAGTCTCTTTGTGCTAGGTAAAACAAATACTTGCATTTTATGTAGAAAACACCAACCCCTCTTGTGGAAATGAAATTGCAAAATGCGAATATGTTTGAAAGCAGAAAGCTGCACAGGTGTTCATGAAAGATTTCTTGTTTAATGTTGCTTCGATAAAATACTTTTTCTTGAGAACTTGGCTAGGTGGTGGCGCTTATGAGTACTTTTTATCTCGTTCTTTCAAAAACGGTGAAAAAATCCCCTTATCGCTTACAAGAGGCCAACAGGTGTCTGCGCTGTACGGAGTTGTATTACACAGGCCAGTCTGCTCAGGGTATGCTAGGATGTTGCACTCCCGTCTCTTAACGATTCTAGGAGTGAAGGTATCCAAATGTTTGCTGGGAACTGCGAATCTTCAGAGCCTCTGTTCAAGCTGCGTGATCTATAACGTTAAATTTAGATGACAATTTAATACTTTGTAAATTGTCAGTGGGTGCATAGTGCTGAAGTTTAATTCTTCAGTGATTTTGAAATTCTGATTTTCAAAATCTCCCTCCCTTCTTTTGAACAAATCCTCTTTGTCTTTAACCTTGCACGCTTTCGAGTCTGTGGTTGCTAGAAGTTGCTTTTGGGAAGGGAGCCCTTGCGTTCAAAGGTGCCCATCGCTAACCCGTCTTCTGTGATTCTTCCCTAGAATAAAGGAACGGGCAGAATATGAGCGATTCGGGTGCAAAAGGCAACCAGTCTCTGTCACAGAAAGACAAGGATGGAACAGAGAAGAGAGGGAGAGGAAGACCTAGAAAGCAGCCACAGCTAAAGAGCCTTGAAGTAAGTATGAGTTTGGAACCACACTTTGAGCTCTGATCATGCTAGTGTTGAGGCTAAGTTACCAATTGCTAACATACTAATTTATTTGGCTGAGTCACGTCTGTACCCATTAATACAGCTGGGTGTTCTGCTGTGTCACGTCTGGTGAGGTACCATCCTCACGGGTACAAAGCAGTGTCTCATCTGGGATTTGAACCTGCAGCCCCCCTGTTGAGGTAATCTCTGTTCATTGTAGTCAAAGAACCTAATCTGACCCTCTGAGATCATTTGGGTCCACTCACACTAGGGAAAGCAACATGTGGATGTAACCATGGAAATGAGACCTGTTAAATTTAGCCCTTCTCCTCTGGAGATTTGTGAAATATCTTCAGTGCTCCTGCCCCCCCCCCAACATATTTTTCACGGTAAGCCTGTGCTCTTGGTATTTTGATCGTTGGCTTGGAAAGAATTCAGAAATCCCATTGAAATTAAACCAAAGGTGCAGACTGTAAACACATGGAACAGACCTTAAGCGATGATAATAATAATAATTGCTTACACTTATATAGCGCTTTTCTGGACACTCCACTCAAAGCGCTTTACAGGTAATGGGGACTCCCCTCCACCACTACCAATGTGCAGCATCCACCTGGATGATGCGACGGCAGCCATAGAACGCTCACCACACATCAGCTATCAGTGGGGAGGAGAGAAAAGCAATGAATTCAATTCCTAGATAAATCAGTGTAACCTGCAGTAAGGAGGCTGTTGTCCAGGTTTGGCATGTTTCAGTGTTCAGCTGCCATCATTTTTAGGGTTTGTCATTTGTCCTCTCGGACTGTTTGTGAATGTACACCGTAAACGCTCATATAACCTCTGAAAAGCACATCTGAAGCATTATCATTAAAGCCTTTCAGACATTGACTAGGTCAGTGTGTATTGTGTTCTGCCTTTCTGAATCATTTGGAAGCTATGGATTTGCTATCTGCTATGTTTATACATATAATGGCTGCATGCTTGCTTTTCAGTAGCTGTGCTTCAGATCTCTGATGCGTCTATGCTTGGTGCGCAGAACATTTGGGGGTAATAAGAATTTTTCTCATAGTTTTATTTAATGAAAAAAACTTGAAATTAAATGTTATCCAAAAGGTAATGGAGAGTGAATGATTTCAGTTGCATTCTTCGAGGTCAGTGAGGGTCTAACTCGGGCACAGTGTAATTCCTGTTCTGCGTGGTAGATGTTCCTGCCAGTGTTTGGCTCTATCAGCTGAACTCTGAGAGGCGACTCTCAGCCCGTCTCCCAACTTCCTGCTTATAACTCTCCTTACTGGCCTTTAACCTGAAAGGGCTGTTTTTTTCCCTTTGCTTCAAATTTTTGTAGGTCAAGATATTCTCTCAGAAAAGTCCTTTTCTTACAGTAAATGTACTGATATCTTTAATGATTGTTGTTAGAAATCACCCGATAATAGCAACTCTAGTTTGTGTATTATAAGGCAATTCCTGTATGTTTTTGTTTAAGAATTTGAAAAAAAAAATATATATATTAAAAGGTAAGGGCTAAATGGTTAGCATCTCTGTCTTGCAGCACTTGGGCTCACGGTTCAGTTCCTGAGCTGTTATGTGCCTGGACCTTGTATGTTCTCCGGTGTTCATGTGGGTTTCCTCTGGGTGCTCCATTTCACTCCCTGTGTGTGCTCTGGCATCCTATCAAGGGTGTATCTTGCGTTGCGCCCATTACTTGCCAGAATAGGTTCCGGCTCCACTGTGACCCTGTATTGGATAAGGTGGTCAGAAAGTAGATGGATGGATTTAAAAGTTATAATGAGTACATCTTAAAATCTTAAAAAGTGTTTTGTTTAAATTAGACCGCCATTGGCTTGAAACTTCTGACTAGCTTTGTGGGGAGGGGGCATTCCTTCCCTCCTTCCTTTGTACATTTGTAATGATCTTCATTTGGCCTGGCGGGTTGTCAAAGCTGTGTGAACGGAGCCCCTAAACCACTGCTAACTGGCGGGTTCCTCCTCCCCTCCCCTGATTGGCAAGCGATAAGCGGAGCCAGGCATGTCATTGGCCGGGAGGGCTGTCGTTTGCTGAAGCTGCTGTGGGTGTTAGATTACAGGGTTGCTAATGGCTGCAGCTGTAAACAGACCAGGAAGGTAATAAAAAACCTGCACCACTATAATATACAGCCGGATGTATTATTCATGTCTATTACAGCTCCCAGGCTAGGCAGAAATCCCCTCCCCATTTTCTTCCTCTTTCTTTATTAAAGCTCAGATAGCTGTAGCTGAGGCAGGACAGCTTGCTGTGCAGAACAAGTCAGCCTCCCCACCCCTCACCCCTTATTTTACCTCAATTAGGATTATTTCTCTTTGGAAACTGAGCGTCTGAGGGATTGTGTCAATATTTTGTGTACTGTTTTCCCTGTGGCATACATGATGTTCTCCTTAGGTGTTTATATGGTGCCACTGTCCTCATTATATGAAAGCATCTTGCCTGCATTTATTCCTTTGCTTTATCCAGCTGTTTTTTTTTTCTTCTTGCACTGGGATGTGCTCACTATTTTTAGGAGGGCCACACTCTTTACTATAGACAGGGTAGGTGCCCAGGCACCTACTGGACGCATGAAGGAGCAAGAACCCCAGCAGCTGCCTGGGTGGCGCTGGCATCCACAGCTCTCACTCCGGGCCATGGTTTTGATTGAAAGGCAGCCCTCTACATGGCCGCACAGGGGAGGGTCTCCCTGCACATGTTTTAAATACTGTGGAGGGAACCAGGGGCTGCCAGAGGTTGACCTTATCCTTCCCCCTTCTGTTTTTCCTTTCCCCTCCAATGGCGTAACAAAGCAGCAGTCCCTTCTAATCTGCTGAACAATAAAGACCCACACAGCTTTTGTTGGCAAGTGGGAATATCCGACCACAGGGAGTCCAGACCGGACCACCCCTCCTCCATTCTGTGAGACATTCTTTCCCAGCATGCACCTTCACCAGAGCCACTCGGAGAAAACAATGGGCTTAGATGTATGATAGCTATCAAGAGCTTGCCCGTAAAGGTCCGTTATATCTTCCATTTATTGTAGTTTTTAAACATTCAACCTTCACGCATTGTATGAATAATGGAGGAACTTGTATATTATTTTAATCTATAATTCTAGGTTTCTGTTGTCATGCTGGCTTCTCTTGAGATTGCTGGAGCTGTTTAAACCCCCCATTCATATCACCCAGTTAACAAACTGTCGCATCTTTTGAGTGGAGCTGAGATTTAACTGAATCTTGTGACTTTAGAGCACATGGGTTTGGTTACATGGGTTGTATCAATATCGCACAGTTCTACAAATTGCCCATTAGTGCTCTCCTTCGCCTATAGTGTTTGAAAACATCCATATGGCCTGGCTGGAGTCTCTGTGAGTTTCTTCACAAGTGTCTTTAACAATGAATGACCTTGGCATAGTAGTAAGGGAACTTTTCAAAATACGAGGGGGGTTGAAACTTCATCCTGGTCTGGCCATGTGTCTGGACTGAAATAAGTCCTTTGAAGTATTCAGCTACCTCGAGCTAGTTGTAATTCTAACATTTAATTCTTTTCTAACATTTCCCCTAAAGTACCATATTCTTTATGTGGGGCAGGTAAAATGACAGGACAGCAAATGGGTGGTATTGACCAGTGACTACTTCATAGAGCAGGATTTATTTTAATGTAGCATCAAGGGCCTGAACTCCTTTTTTACAGCTGCATGGCACCCACTTGCCTGTTTCATTCCTTCTGACAGCCCTACGGCACCAGCAGGCCAGCTGCCTTAACCTTTGAGCTGGGAGAGTGAGATCTTGTGCTTAATTGCACAGCCATGTTTGGTTTGCACAGACTGATTATAAAAACCTACAGTTGCTCTATGTACACAGCAATAAACTGCCTTTAGCCTGAGGGGAGCTGTGTGGTGATATTGACAGATCTAGACTCTGATAGAAAACACTGCATTTTTGTTAGAAAATAAACCTTATTTTATAAGCCACCATTCATAAAAATGCCTAAATGTGCAGTAAAATTAAAAACATGAAAACGGTCGACATGTAGAATACAAAATTATATAGTAAAAAATCTTTAAGTATGCTAGTATAAATGAGCACGTTTTTAAAACAGATGCGGCACTTACTGATAGGAATTCCTATCCCGGCCTCCTGGCCAAATTTCCCATTGGCCTTTACCAATCATGGCCTCCTAATAACCCCCATCTCTGAACTGTCTTCATCACTCTGTTCTCCTCCCCAGTGATAGCTGGTGTGTGGTGAGTGTACTGGTCACTATGGCTGCCATCACATCATCCAGGTGAGGCTGCACATGGTGGTGGAGGGTAGTCCCCATAACCTGTAAAGTACTTTAAGTGTGTCCAGAAAAGTGCTATGTAAGTGTAAGCAATTATCATTATTTTATTAATAAGTAAGGGCAAAATACTCATTACCCATCTTTTTTTATTTCATTTCCTCAGCTTCACATTGTCCAACACTCATCGCATTTTGACATTATGGTACTCTTCTCCCCCAAAATACAAACCTCTCTTCACACCTTCAGTGTTCCCTTCTTTAACAATTTGGAGCATCTTTCGTAAAGGATTCTCTTCTTTTGATGTTGAGTCCATTGAAATTCACAGTTTTTTATCTGGTGCTCCACTTAAATGGCAATAAGCTCTGGTTTTCGTATGGGAAGATTTAGTACTTTTATCCCTGACCAGTTTTTATTCTTGTGAATGTGCACTGTTCCAGAGAACGTTGCCTTTGCCACCAATAAGGCGCATACATTCCTTAAAACTGAAGGACTTGGCAACATGTGGCAGACAGCCACCTGTTGGTCTTAAAGTAGCAGTGGGTGTCAGCTGCACTGACCTCGAACAGTGCTTTCTCTGTGTGCTGCGGGGAGTCTTATTCTCTGAAGAAACGGAACACTATTGGGGCCTAAACTGAACAGTGGTCTTCTCAGGACTTCCTGGAAGCAGAGACCAATTATGGTTTCTCGCCTATTGCATTGTGGGTTGTTCTTGCCTTCAGGTATTCTAACCTATGGATCAGGTCATGTGGTAGAGGGCATCCCTTCAGCTGGAAAAAGGCCATAGTTGAAACTGGAGAATGCACTTCCTGTGTGTACTGAAAATAACATGTAGAAACACTCGTTCAACCAAGCTATGCGGATACGTTTGCCCATGTGCCGGTATAAAATGCTGAGGGCTACAGAAAAAGTAATTCCTTTCGCTTGCTAAGAAACTTAAGAACTACAGAGGGAGTGCTGTGTGCCAGTTGTCCCAGGCCACAGAATTCTGTGACCTGTTTCCTCTTGGTCATTAAGCATTTGTTACTTATTGCTTATAGCCTAGGTCTGTACCTTCAAAAGTCCAACATAGCCCTCTGGTTTCATTCATTTTGAATGAAAACCCTACCAAACCTGATCCCCCTGATCAGTGGCAATTGAGTCATTAAATGTGGACTACCTGCAGGTTTTTCTCTAGACAGGTACTGTGAGTCAACCAGTCTGTGAATAGGTAGCCATGGAGAAGGGAAGACAACAGCGTTAACCTTGCTGAAATATTTAAAGAGTAATAAAACCTTGCAATGCAATACACTTTGCTGTTTTCTGAGATGCCCTGGTAAATACCACAGAAGTCATTATATTGCAGCCGTGACTTCAAGGCTTGGTTTTTGAACGTCCTGTCAAGAGTTCCCAGTTTCCGAATTTTCGCTGTAGCAAAGCATGTTGTTGTACCTGTTTTTCACAGTTGCAAAGAGTTATGAAGAGAGTCATCAGGATTTAAATTTATAGAATATTTGTCCAGTTTGTCTTAATTATATTTGTCCAGTTCTTAACTACTGTACTGAGGTGAAAACTGAAATTACCTTAAGAAATAGTGTTCTTTGATAATTCAGTGCTAGTATTAGAGTAAATATCAATTTTATACAATGACTGTCAGGCTATACAGAATATACAATAAAACCAGTTATAAGTGCAAAAATAAAAATTTAAGCCTATCGAAAACATAAGTTATAAGGCACGGTTTAACAACAGAGGGTTTGTTTTTAATTTGGTTTGGAAAAGTATTCCAGTGACAAGAGACTACTACTACTAAAAAGGCTCAGTCCCCTAATGTACAATGTGAAGTCCTTGGGAATGTTGACGAGCCTAGAACCAGTGGAACAAAGTGAGCAAACAGCGACGTGTGAGGTATGAGCTCATGAGCCAGGCCATGCCACACCTGACAGGTCAACAAGAAAACTTTCAAGTCAGTCCTGTCTGTCTATATGGAATTTTTTCAGTCCAGAATGAAAACGTTCTTATGTTGTTGTTTTTTTGTCTTGGTCAGCAATTAAGCAGCACAATTCTGGACATAATGTGTATTTCATCATAAAAATAATTAATATACCCATTCCTCAATTAAAAAAACAAACAAACAAATTTTTGCTGTAACATAGCACATTTTCATACCTGCATTTCATTGTCACTACAACAGAGGTGCATCTCTACTTGTTGACCAAAAGATATCATTCTCACGGTCTGACCTCCTACAGCACTTCCTTGGTGCGCCTGTGTTCTGAGGCATTTATACATATGAAGTCCTTTACTAGGATGATGAAGGTAATTATCATAAACAGGCAACAGCATTCTTACTTTAATGATTCAGGGCTCTGTCGGGGTAAAAACAAGTAATGCTGACTGATGTTTTAAGACTTGGGAATGCATCAGAAGGTTTAACTTGTAAAATGAATGGAAATTTAACTTGAGGTTTTCACCTTCCAAACAGTAGAAGATGACTGTTGCCGTGATTTGCAACTTTCTTTATTCATCCTAATGCAAAGCATATCGTCTGCTTACGTCTTTGTGAGCGTTTATTTCCACTGTCCCCTCTCTCTGCAGGAGCCCAGTGGATCCCCATCTCCAAAGCGACCCCGGGGAAGACCAAAGGGCAGCAAAAACAAGACCACGGGCAAGAGCAAAGTGAGTGTCTCCCCCTGCAGGTACCTGCGTGGTCCATCACAAGAACACCATGCACCTGCACTGCCTTTGTGCATGTCGGTTAAAAGCCCCATCAGAAACCCGCAGTTCACCAATCGGTTCCTGCGGCTCACAACGGCTCTGAAATGGATGGTTCACAGTTTTGATTAAAAAATGCTGTGCCAGTGTTTGGGGTGGAGCTTATGAGGCATGTGATAACTTAAGGCCCAGACGTCTCCTGGGCTTACAGGGATTTAATGGGTTACTTGTGGTCTTAGGTCCTAATCTCACCAGAAACGCGCAAAGTGCTGCTCTACTTTGTATGTCTGTCACCGATGTGTCACACAGTGGTCTTCACATGTCTGGTTGTTCCTTTCCATCAATTTTCGAACTGTTTTTTCCAGTACATAAAATCCAGGGTCTATCCAAACAAGCAACGGGCGCAAGGTAGGATATACCCTGGATGAGATGCCAGTCCGTGGCAGGGCACACACAGACACAAACACGCACACTCACACCAGGGCCAGTTTTCCCATTGGGAATAGGGAGAAGATACAAACTCCACCCTGATAGTACCCCAGGTCCAGAATGCTATCTACCGTGCCACCATGCCACCCTCTTGTGAGGATATCTCAGACAATACAATCCCTAACAGGCATTAAGTAGCTTGTTTCTAATGGCCTAGACTGGTTTTAAATGCTTACCAGACAAATTGCCAGTAGATTGGAAACTGTTTCAGTGCTACTGTAATCAACCAGTCTCTGGCTTTTTAACATTCTGTTTGGAATGTGCCATCACATTCTGAAACGCCTGTGCATAATGATCACGTACAATTTTATAGAAAGATTCCTGGAAGGGTTTTCTAATGTAGTATTGCCGTACATAACCAGGCCACCAGAAAATAATCTTGGGAGTGCACGTTTCCACATCCATATGAAAATAACCACAAATCATTATTTTTGGAAACGCACAGTATTTCCCTTTCTTTCTGCGCCCAGCTGTCTCTCCCCCAGGGTCCCCACCCCAGTGCGTTGTGAGTCTTGGTTACCCGATATGACAAGGAAGTGATCAGACTGCAGGCATTTAGCGCACATGTATTAATAATCCCCTCCAGGAGCCCAGCCAGAAAGCACAGCTCCCTCTCAATTGTGTGCTTCCCCAAGCCACTTCAGGACTGACCTTTTGAGATAACTGCTAAACCGTCCGGCGGCTTTGATCTGCTCCTAGTCAAGCATGAACTGACCTGCAGCACTGTGCCTTCTGGGGTGAATAACAATCTGTTTATGGGCTGTGTTTTTATGCTTCAACCCCTGCCAGCTCCACCTTCATCTCCCTTTTCTCCTCTGTGATTTCCAAAATGTCCTCCGGACGAACTTGCCAGTGTGTAAGTTAACTGGCTGGCCATTTACTGGCTATTGGAAATGCCTGGCTGCTGAAGGGAACACCTCAGATGGCAGTGTTTTAAACTTCCTTAGAGTCTGCAGCGCTCAACACATTTAGGCTTTTTCATTCTCGGTATAATACCTTGTTTGCCTGTGGGCCTGTCATTTTATGCGCGTTGCCCATTACAGGTGCCCAACTCGTGCGCTCAGTTCTGAGCCAGCGCAGTGCTCCCGTTCTAGGTTGGTGGTTGCCACGGCAACGCAGGATTTCTCCATTAGCATTTGCACTGGACAGGATGAAGCGCCGCAGCACAGGCGCAGCCCTGGTCTGCCTTCCCTCTGACACATCAGCTGTACTGGGCCGAAACCTGCTGACAGACGCAGCTCCACACACGGCTGCTGTCAGTGCTGTGTAGATAATAGCCTCTTAACCTGGAGCCCTCTGGCTAGGTATCCCTATTTTTATAGACTCGCGCTTGGCTCCCTCTACTGGTGGCACTTCTCCCTGGCACTAGACTGGATATGTGCATAGTTCTGTAGACTGGATATGTACATAATTCTGCACAGCCTTGACATGGTGATGTGTATACAAGCCAGTACGAAGCACAAAACACAGCATTTGGTAGCTTGACCTTGCACAACATCCAGGTGCTCTTGCCGAGGGCTGGGGCTTCCATCACAGAGATTGAAGTGTTGAAAATGGGAAGCATTTGATTTGGGAGCGCTCATTTTAATGAGGCACACATCTCTAAAAAGATCTTTCATGTTTTTTTCCCCCTAGTAAATCAGTTTTCTAACAAACACAAATGAGAATTAGGTATCCTTATTGCAGTGGAGGCAGTTTTAATGCTTTTATTTTTCCCGCTGTAGAAATCAACAGCCTCTGCTGGGGGGAAGCGCAGAGGAAGACCCAAGAAAGCGGTAAGAGTCCATTTAAATTTCTCAAGATAAAAGTCACATGAAGTCAAGGCCTGAACAGGTGTTATCCACTATTCTTATTACCTGTTTAAAACCTTTAGTGGTGTTAAGCTTCCCATTTTAGTGTTTTTTTTTTCAGGCAGTCTGTAAAGACACCTAAGCTCCGGCTTTCAGGACCTGCAGTTGAGGCCCTGTGAAGCTGAAGGTGCGTGTATGCAAAAGGCTGTTGCCAATAGCAACCTTCTCAAAACATTTGCATTTGGCTGCTTATCGGAAAGGGGATTTCACCAAGCCTTTTCGTTCTCTCTACATGAAGAGAACAAAAAAAAAACAAACTATTTTTCTGTGGCAACACTAAAGCCAGACTTATAGAAGCAGACATAATTTGGTCTGCTTTGGACTTTTGTGTTTAAGAGGATACAGAAGAGACTGGGACTCATGAGAAAAAATACTTTCACATTTTACAAATCGCTTTAATTATTTAAGTTTTCAATAAAACATGCTGGAAACGGTTTTGTGGTGTTCTTAAGCGTGTGTCAATGTTGTCAATTTAACCATTCCTTCACAGGCCGCTGTTGAAGTCCCGTTTTATGCTAATCAATCTTTTCAGACCATCAGGGTGCAGAATGTTTGCACTGCCTTGACTTAACTATTTCTGGTCAGAAAGGGGATTAGCACTATCACAGCAGTTCTAAACAAGCACATTTCTGACTCACCTGATTTTTTCCTCCAGGATAATTTGCATTTGATTCCATTTTTTACTTTAAGCTCCTGTTCTTATTTTGTTTTGCTCACATTTACTCTCAGGCTTTGAATTTCCATTCCTTCCAGTATGTCTTTATAGAAACTCACTTTCCATTGTGTAAGTGTTGCATTCACATTTATTTGTATATAAATACGTGAACTCATTTGTGATGAATGTTTGGTCATATCTTGACAATTATGGGATTTTATTTCTGCATGTGTGTGAGGATCTTGTTTGGAAGAAGACCACAGTCTGACTTTAATTAGTGCCCCCTCCCTCATCTACCCCTCCTTTTCCTGGCCAACTCACACTTTACTCATCACTTAGGTTGTTTTGCCCTCAAATTCCTTTTCAATGAAACAGAGCGAGCTGGTGCCCGTCTGCTGTCCCATTCCGTCGTTCTCACCCAACCCTGGTTGATTCACCATCATCGTGCTCTTCTTTTAAAGAAGTGTCTATCCTGAGAAGTCATATCCCACTTTGAGATTTTCCTAAGGAAGCAGATATCTTACGTTTGCACCTGAAAATGTGAAAGACTGACACAATTCCCCCTAAGAACACTTGAGTGTTTTGCACAATTTTTCAGATTTGCTTTTGTGTTTTGGGGTAAAGTGAAATTGCTATTTAAAAGTTCTACAGGTTAAGAAACTGTCATTAGCAAGCACCCAGGGAGAAAAGTAGGCACAAGATTATTCACTGTGTATTACCTTTTAACATTTAGGTCGTTGCTTTCTGATGTGCTACACATTTGAAAATCTGTACCAAACCTCTGTTGGACAGATTTGCATCACAAACTAAATTTCACCATTACAAGTCCTAAAGTCCACAAGAAACGTGACCTTAAAGCCTCTGAATTACATCGCTGATAAGTTAGAATAGCAATGATATTTAGGTTTCTTGGGAAAAGACCCTGTAGGCCTATAGGAGTGCTGAAGGTAGTGAGATGACCACAGCTGCCTTTTCGACTGAGGATTGGGTGTGTGGGCTGCTCCTGGAGTCACCTCCTAAAGAATGATACCAGCTCATTACTGGTTTAAGATGACCAATTAAACAGCTTGCCCAAGCTCCTCTGATTGCTGGGTGCAATGAGGGGACCGGAAAGCCTGCAGACAGTGACCCTCCAGTGATCAGGATTGCCCATTAACTCGGAGACAGTGGCGTTGCAGATAATGCGGCCTGTGACAGTAGCATTCTGCAGTGTTGGGAACCATTTTTAATCCCAGTGTTCTGAGCCCTGATTTCTTTGTTGCAAGGATCTTTACTGTCATACAGCATATTAAAACCCCATGCTGCTGGAGTGATTGATAGGCGGCCTTTGACCCTCGCTATCCAGATGTCCTCAAATATTGTGTACTCAATGTATCTCTATTCATCTCCGAGCTGTGGACTTGTGAGGAAAGCTAGACCTTCATTGATCTAAAGCTAATGAATAAATGAGTTTTTGATTCTGCTTAAAAACTCCCTAATGTGCTGGAACTAAGAGTTCTTTCAGGTCTGTATATTATTACAGGGCTGTAATAATGCATCTCGCCTGCTTTCTTATTTGTTTTTTGTTTTTAGCTTCTGCTGAGGAGCTCTAGTGGAGTGACCCAGAGTTACCTCAGCAGCTTATTATTTTTATGAATGAAAATCCAGAGACAAGGGTGGGAGGGAGGAGGCTGCTGGGGGGAGAGAGAGAGAGGCGGGGTGGCGGTGGGGGGGTTGCTGAGTCATCGGCATCCTGCTCCCGGCTGAGTCACTAAGCTGAGTACCAGGCCCCGGAGCTGCAGAGTAACCACAGCACTACACAGGACACGCTTCCTCTCACGGCCCCTTTCACATTCGGCCCTTGGGAAAAACTTGGAGAGCCGCAGCTGATGCATAATGCTGGAATGGTATGCTGTCCATGGGTTCCTGTTTAAGCGTAGTGCCCAAAGTAGTAAACAAATGTGCAGCATGTTTCCAAAACGGTCCTCTTATCAAATGTTCCCTCCCCGTCTCCAGGACCTTGCTTTTAATTTGCTGCCATCAGATTGTTTACTACCAGCTCCGGTCATTCCTCAGAGCTGATGAGACTTCACCAGGAAAAATCCCTTTTAGATGTTGCCAAGGTGGTGGTGGGGGGGACCCCTTTTAACAAATGAGTGAGTCAGCGCAGTTTTGAATCACCTCCAGATTAAAAAAAAAATAAAAAGTTCTTGTGTGGAAAAGCTAAGCGATGCGTCCTTCCCTCGCCGCCCTGGGAGGTGAAGGGGAATCTCAGCTGGCTCACAGTCCGGCAGGCCTTAAAGGGGCAGCACAGTATTCAGCCTGTAGTACAGGTGCATGCAAAAACTGGTCCTGGAAGGTTGATGTGTTTGTGGGTTTTCTGTCCAGCTTGGGTCTTATAAAGCTAAACCAGCTGCTTTCAGGCTTAACAGGACTGGTTTCACGGCTTCTTCCAGCAAGTAAGGTGCTGTTGCTTTAAAGAGACCTGGATAACCTGCAGGTGCACTGCCCCCCACCCCAGACTAAGATTGGACAGCCCTGCCCTAATGCTTTAGTGTCTTCTCCACTACTCTAGAGTTTGTCAGTGTGTTTTTTTAACTTTTCAACACTAGTTGATCACAATATGCTGACTTACTTTCAGTATGTCCATGAATTACTTTCTGCCATGTGCACTTGACCCATGTGGCATATTTAGATTATTTTGCTTTCTAGGGGAAATCTGCTTGTGAATTGCAGTGAATCATCCCCTGTCTGCTGGATTCCATTCTGTCTGAGCTGTTAATCAGTGATAAATTCTTAATTGATCTACATGCTTATTTAGACTTATGTTTACCTGACCCTGCCCTTGGTTTCAGGATTGTTCCCACAACTTCAGCATGTTTATTGAGAGCCTTCTCCCTTATTTCTGTCTATATGGTCACAGAAAAATATTTCTGACTTTTATTAAGTCATTAATGGTCCTTTTCTACAGGTTCAGTTGGTTACATTTCAGCAAACATTTGAATGAGGAAAGTTCTAAAAGTCAGAAATTGATGCATGTTCTGTAACATGATACCATTTGCAAATCAAATTTCAACTGAAAGAATATTTTTAAATTGAAATCAGTTACCCTCAACGAGCACAGAAGAAAATGGTAACCAGTGGACTGCAGGATAGTTTGGTATTCACATGGTGATTTGTTTGCAACATTTAATTACTTTTAAGGGAAAAGGCAATGATTTGACCTAAAACTACATTGTACACAGATGAAGGTGCAGTTAACCTGTTAATTAAATAGTTATATCTGAAGTACCCAAAGGGCAGGATTAGTGTGGTGCTTGACGTTGGCCCTGTTCTGTTTTATTGTTGCAGTTGGACAATCCCTCTGGTTAGTTGTGTGATTCAGAAGGGACATTCCTTGCATGTGCATGACCGTTGCACCTTTTTTGTCCACCTTTCAAGCAAAACTATGTAAATGAAAAGCTTGTTTGTTGAAATGTCCTTACAAATTAAGAATCTAATCCGTCTACTAAAGAGGTTGTGATTATAACGTGCAATTTTCTTCAGAATCAGTCAGGCCTCCAGCCTGTTGTTTTCTATGAAAAATTAATCTGGGACTTTGTAATGTTTATTTTCCCTGTAAACAGCTCCAGAGTGTCACCTACACCAGTGTTTAATTCTTCACATTGCTGTTTGTACTGCAGTTGCTCACCTTCTAAACCGTATTAATCAAAATAGGTTTGTAAAGAACTCTCAACGATGATTAAATAACACAAATTTGGGCAATGCTAATAAGAAAATTCTGTTATTCTTCAAACATGTCTGCAAGTCCATTCGCTTCTTTAAATTCTCAAGGTGCAAAGAGTTAAGCCTTAAGTAAAAAAGGCTTGAAACCTTGAAACCTTTTCTTCTAAAGTTGAACTGTTAATGGTCTAAAGAAATGCAGGAATCCTATTAGACTGTGACCCTTAAGAGTGGAGGTGGACCTTTGCTACTTTCTGGCTTAATACTGGAGCTTTGATATACCACCACAAATCAAGGCTTGCTGGAGTGGCAGTTGTGTGACCAATCTGAGTAGAAATCCTATTCACACTTTGAGGTTGAGCCCTTTAGTCTAGATACTGGCAGCCCAAAGCAACAGCAATTTGGCTGGGCTGGGCTCATGGTGTGGCCAAGGGCAGGTGTCTCAAGTCTCAGTCAGTGAGAGGCCTGATGGCAATAACTTCAGGTCTGACCTTATCGGATCACTCACTGTCTGTCTGATTGCTTCCAGGAGAAAGAGGAGGAACAGGGTTCCCAGGAGTCTTCTGAAGAGGAAGAGGAGCAGTAAACCGTTGGCAACCCACACTACCTCATAACTCAACTTACTGACTTCCTGTCAACAAGAGCTGGACTGAAACTTCAATACAAACGTCGTCGCTCCCCCCACCTCGCTCACCGCGCCCTTCCCCACCGGCTGCTTGGCTGCTCTCCCCTCTGCAGTCTCCTGTCCGAATGGGAGTCCGACGCATTTCACCCTCGCTCTCCACAACAGCACTGGAAAACAGACATTGTGAGATATATATATATAACAAACTGGCGACTTCCCGTTTAGTTTCATAATGGGTTTTTGGCAATTACAGTGGTCTTTTATACTGGACAAAGGTGAATTTATGTTGCCTACAACTGTTTTTATTGTTTTTTTTTGTGTGAAGTGGTAATTCACAAGGAAACAATCTGGTCTCCCTCGCACCCATTACAAGGCTTGAGGGTTCGTGGTTTGCAGACAGTTGGATGTATTTTAGTAGATACTTCAGCCATCTTTTACATGGTATAATGCTAAAGGTTTTCGTTTTTTGTTCCTAAACTGATGTCAATTTGTAGGGTTTTTCAATATCATGTCACTTCAGCGATTATCCCCCCCCCCCACTTTTTCAACCCTGTGCTCTGTCAGAAGCGTGCCGGAATCGAAAAGCGAGTGTTCTTTGGGGTGTATGAATTGTCAGAGGGGTCCTCCAGGGGGCTGTCGATTAGATTTGGGTGGCCAGGGGAGGTACTGTAGGCTGCATATATGGAGATATTCATGAGGTTTTAGACATGTTGGTTTTTATTTTAATATCAGATAGACTGAATTAAAGAGAATAGATGTGCTGTCTTTGGGAACTGGAGTCTTTCTTGGGATCATGCTTGCTTGTTCTCCAGTTTCAAAGGATACTGACCAGACCTGACCCCCCCCTCCACACACACACACACACACACACACACACACACACACACACCTCAGTCTGAAGTGGCACCCATTGTTTTACTGTATCGCAGAATACTAACATTTTAATTTGCTGCCAGTTTTAACAACATTTACTTTTCTTCCCTCCAACAACAAAAAACAAATCTTCCCCAACTGCTCTTTTTTTTATTCAAGAGATTATTTTTTCCGATCGAGCTGTTAGCTGCGGGACTGGGCTTACAGCAGGCGTGTCCAGCTGACAGGCCTATGCTGGGACAGATCCGGTGGGACGATCGCAACCTCTTTCTTTTCCTTCTCGCTTGGTGTTCCCCAGCACTGTGAGCTGTGATACTGGAAGCAATCCTTATCTCAGAGCAAAATTGCCACCAAACATTATGAGGAATGCATGTTGTCCTGTATGGGGCCTGCTTGGTCAGTAGGCCTAGTTTTTCCTCATAGCTGGGTATAGCTCAGGAAGGGTTTCTCTGTGCCAAGTTTGAGGACATTTGTTCAGTAAGTCTTGCAACACCCAGTACCTGGGGTCTGCTACCACAGACTCCTGCTACTGCTTTAGCTGAAACGTATGGCTCCTACAATGCATTAGTGTCTGTGTTGCATGCAATAGACCGAGGTCTGGTGACCCTCCCCTGTCCCTTTTACATTTACAGTGGCAGGGGAGTTTGCTATAGGCTTATTCAAGCCTATTTTCAATTTTTCTGTTCTTTCCAAAAAGCCACAAAAAGAACTGCTTACGCCGGTTCTTCTGCCTGACGGGGAAGTCAGTGCTCCAGCTGTGACCTGTGCTCTATCTGCAGTTTAGCTCTACTGGGGAGACAATGTTACCACCAGATTCCCCTAAACGAGAGAAATCCTAAAGTTTCTTATGGGCCATTGAGACTGTATGCGGAATTATTCATATAGCTGTAGCAGGGCTGAATATCTTTAAACAATGTGCAGCACTCTCCAGAGCTTTGGCAGAAGACATGGTGCTCTCGGGCTGATGATGATCACTGATGGTGACAGTTTGTTATGCCAATTCCAGGACTTCACACGTGGGTAGTGCTTGATCAGTAACTGTTGTGTGTCTGCAGTGTTGCTGCTGAAAGGGAGTTTCAGATGTCGGTAGTGTTGGCTGACTCCCACCCTTACCCAGCTATGAAAGTTCATTTTCAAAATGCAACATTAGTCATCACCGATAATGTTCAAAGATTAGATCCACCAAGTAAATGCAGTGGCTTTAGGAAGAGGTTGCTAAGCTTGGTCAGTTTAATATCCATTTACCAGCCAGGCTCCTTAGTGTAATTAATTGAGCTGTCTTCCCCCCACACACACACACTTAACTCACTTCCTCTGCAGTTAAAGTAACCTGCTCCCTGCTCTGATCCTGTACCCAGCAGGGCAGAGCTGCCTTCAGCCAGGTGTCCCCACACTAGCAGATCTCTGTCCAGCCACTGGGGGGGCAGTGTTGTTAGTGTCTCCTCACTGTCGTAGGAGACTGACTCACACTCTGTTCTATCAGGAAATCGTCCATTTTCCACTTTTCTGCCCCCTTTGTTTTTAAACCATTTTATGTGTCATTAGTTTGTATGAAATATGGAGCTGTAAACTAACTTTTTGTATGACTCAGTGTACCCACTCAGTGTACCGAGTTTAAAATGTTCCACTTTGCTGCTTGGCTCTTTTGTGCTTTTATTTGTGATGTTTTAATGGGTGTCAGGGAATTCTTGATCACAGCCCAAATTTTGGGTCTCTCTTCTAACGCAATGCTGCTATGACCCGGTTCTACAACCCGGTATACTGTAAATGGATCTGTCTGTTTTGAGACTGATCCCCAATTCTCCATACCTCTCTTTAGGACAGCTGATTTATTTTGTGTTCGACTGGTTTGATTTAACTTAATCTGCAGAGAAAGCGACCTCTGATGTCGGCATCTCCTTTTTCTAAATGACCATTAGCTCTGTCAGTAATGATCTGTTACACAGGAGTTTAAATTCAAAATGGCTTGCTCTTAATCTGCGGCCAGTTCCTGTTGTCTTACAATATGTGGCTCTTTTTTAATGAACGTATAATAGTGAAAAAAAGAAGTCAGGGACGTTTCTTAAAACTGTCAGCTTTCACAAAATATTCACTGATGGTGGCAGACAGCGATAGATTTTTTGTAACGCTTTATTTGGTGCACTGAACATTGTAATTGTAACATCATGTTTTTCATTTGGATAACCATTTGTTTGAGATAACTTTTTTCATGATGGTTGGTAAAAGTTAGGATCCTGTACTGTTTGGGGGACTGTCCAGTGCTCCCCTTTGCTTCGATTCCTGCATTCACCATCTGTCTTTTGCTGCGTAGTGGCACTGATTGCTAAATGTGTGCAAATTGTACCCTTTACAGTAGTGGAGGCCCAAGCAATCACTAATGAGTTCATCCTTGTGCTCTTCAGAGTGGTGGATGGTGATTTGAGAGATGTCCTGACTTTGGAGTCTGGTATCCAGAAGCAAACTGCATAGGTCAGACCTCAAAGCGTATCGAAGGTGTAGTCTTGGTTATAAGATCCATGCTAGATTTTGTTTTAGAAAGGACCTTGTCACAGAAACTTAAGAATGCTAAAAGAGGAGGAGCTGTCACAGGATTCACAGCTTTCCCGTGCAGCTTTTTCGTTTTGTTCCGACTGTTGTGCCTTTAAACTTAAGCTTTGCAGTTCACTTGTCCTTCCCCAGAACTGGCATCAGATGATGATGCAATTTCTGATGACAGTTTGTAGGTGATAGTGCTCACAATTCCTGCTGTGCCCCCTCTTACAGGTACCCCTTATCCCAGCACTGTCCATTGGAACACCATAGCAACAGGTGGAAATGCGCTGCGTGTGCAGTGGCTAAAAAAGTGATGGTGTGTCCTTCTCTAGTTTGCTTTTGCTATCGGACAAGCGCAGTAAGCATGCATTGTGGAGCAGTATACTTTATTGCAAAGGAAAGTGATGGGTTATATCAAAACCTTTTCTTTGGTATTTTCTGAAATGTGCTATGATGTGGCTTGTATTGTGATTCCTTTTAACTATTTTTTTTGTGTGCGCGTGACACTCTTCTCACCTTCTTTCTCTGTGCACAGCCCCAACTGAAAAAAACAACAACAACATTCTCATTCCTATTTTAGACTGTCAGAAATAATTTTTCACATCCCTGTCTTGATCTAGGCTCCCTTGCCAACTACAGAACAGTGGAATCAGAATCAGATGTTATTGTAATGAGTGTCAAAGAAACCCTAAAAACTACATCTCCTGTAAGTCCTCTAATGAGATGACTAGAGGACTTGACTACAGCAGTTCATGCTCGTTTTCCCTCTTCTAGAGCACACAGAACACTAGCAACAGGGCACGCATGATGAGCTAAAAACCCTCTCGTTTGTTATTTTTGGTTTTCTTGATAAGTTATGCAAATGCTTTAATATTCCATTCGATTCTGCTTGTTAATATTCTTGGAGCTCCACGCTGTGCACAGACCACTCTGATTTCAAGGTGGACAACTGGTGAAGTGGTAGTAGCTGGGCAAACGTCTACTGCTTGCGCGGCTCTATACGAGAACACAAATGTATTATGTATTGCATGTCGGCAGGTACAAACGCTTTGACAATGTTGTGGGTCGGATGAAATACCTTTGTTCTTCGTGTGTGTGATTGACTTTTTCTTATCAGTTGGTTGGGGAGCACTTTTGCCTGTTGTAATAGAAAATATTTTTACAGGGTGGGGTGGGGTTTGGGTTGGGCGGAGGGGGGGAAGGGGAGAATTTAAAGGGAACTGCAAGTGGACTGTCTTTCCAGGTTCTTTTCTGGTCAACACAAATGCAACTTCTTTTTACTTTTAAGGTGTACTGGTTTTTGTTACAGTAATGCAGAATACATGCAGGATTTGCTTCCTCGTCTGTTCTGTAACTACCTCTAGATAATTTTAAGACTTTGATAAACGGATGCTGCTGTACCTGGTAAATAACCTTTTCTTTCACCAGAAATCAAAATGAACCACAGTTCATATCCGGTTGATCCAATATCTGTTCATTTTCTGTTTTGTGAATTCAGTCTGCTTGTTTTTTTTTTGGTGAACAGTGTGTGAAGAAATGGGGGGCAAAGGGTTTCATTGTAACTGAGGCTAGAATGGCTTTTTCTCAGGCTCTTCGCTGTGACAAACCTGCCTTTCCTGGAAAGGTCTGCAGTCACGGCACAGCAGTTCAAACAACATGAACATTAGAAGAGGTTGCAGCTCTAGAAAGAAACTTTGAAATGTCAGGACTAATTGATGTCAGAAACCAATGATTTCATATGCTGATAGTCAGTAAGGACTTGGAAGAATATTGGAACATGATGCATGACTAGATATGGGTTGATGTTGGAGGGAGCCCGTATTTGACACCATTTGAAAAGGTCTTGGATCAATTTTCTTCCACAGTTTAAATCTTGGTTTTTCTCGAATAATTCTGCAGTTTTAGTTCATTTCTTCAGCCGAGACCTGAAAATATCTTTGACCTTACCAGGAGCTCTTGTTTGCTTTGAGAATTGGCTGCACTGCCAAACTTGCTGTGCAGAGCAGCTGAGAAATTTGCCATGTTAGTTCAACATCCAGTTGCAGCTCCATGGTTATAGAGCTGTTTTCCCTTTCCTTCAGCAAGTGCGTTGCTTTGAGCCTTAGATTCTGCCACCCTGGCCTCAGCTGAACTCTAACCTACTGTCTTGGTATGTGATGCAACCAGTTCCACTCCAGACTGTTAGGACTAACGCCGATAGTCCAGTTTTTTTGGCATCAGGTTCTGCCACCCTTTTCAGCACACTGGATTGTGACAGTGCTCGCTGACAGGCTTTGTGCAGTCTTACTTCAAGCTAAAGGCACCATTGAGGGAGGCACACAGGTAAAACCATGTGATCTGAACCTTAGGGCTGAACTACTAGGGTCTCTGCTGGGGACAGGAAGCAACTTGGAATAAGAAAAAAAACAGCAGGATTTGCATTAGCCTCCCCCGTTTCAAACAGGTATTTTATGAGTGACCAATTCATCGTTCTTGTCTTGAAATCTGACATAAATACCCATATTCCTCTTAGCTTCCAGTTACAAAGTTGAAGGTTTTATTGAAAGTGTTCAGAGATTTTTGCACAGCCCCTGCAAAGTCCTGCAGACACCATGTTTCTGTGAGTGTCCCTCCCCCCCTCACCAGTGCTCACCCTCAGATCCCCTTCCCAGTGAGCTCACGCCCAGGAAAGGGTCCACGCAGGCCTTCTGGGAATGCCTTCCTAGAGGTTTTATAAATGGCCGAGCCAGTGGGTTGATCCTAGGATTAAGAAGGGGAGGTTCAGTAGAAATCTGTGGGCTGATCTGAGTCCGTACAGTCCAGGGATGCAGGGAGCCATAGTCTGGGAAAGGCATTCTGGGACACTTGCGGATTTTTCAAACTCTCTTGATCAGACATTGCGAAGATGTGATATATGTTTCATCTTTCTGATCTTGGGTTCTCATTTGCAGTACTTGAATAAACTGATTTATTGATGTTTACAGCGTGTGGACTGGTGATTGCTTGCCGTCAGTGTCTTTCTGGTATCCCACGATTTCCTTCCTCTGTGTTTTAAAGAATGCACTAGTGACGTCTGTGTCTTCATTGCAAGAGCTCGTGGATGGCCACTGCAGAAATGACCTGGGGATTCTTTATCGCGTGACACTGTAATCTAGCTGGTCATACAAGAATTTACTGTTATCAAAGCTCTTCAAATAAAAAGTAATTTTGGCTACACAGCTATAGTGCCTTTGCAGTTTGTTGGGTTGGCAAAGATCCTTTTTGGGAATTTTCAGAAACTTTCCCCATGGGGCTCCATCATTCCCGTTTTCATATTTCCCCGCGTTATTGAAGGCGAGGCAGAGTCACAACAAACAACACAGCTCTGTGCTTCTGTAATGTTGCTTTATTAGCCCTATACAATTTCTTGAATTAGGAATTCGTCTTTTCATATACTCCAGCTTGCGTTCCGTGAAACACAGACACACAGACGGAGAGAAGCTTGGGGTCAGAGCACAGGGTCAGCCATTTTACAGCGCCCCTGGAGCAGTTGGGGTTAAGGGCCTTACTCAGGGGCCCAACAGAGTAGGATTCCTCTGCCAGCTGTGGGATTTGAACCGG